GCAGCTGAGGACACCAAGATAGGACACAGAATCAGGAAGAGCTGCTGGAATCCGGGCCTTGGGGATCAACCATGACCTGGTGCTTCTAGACAAGTGGTATATATCCTCAGCTGCCCATAGAACTACCCAGATGGCTTTTAAAAGTCCCGAGGTCCAGGCAGCATGCAGATCAATCAAATAAAAATGTCTGGGGCTGGGACCCGGGCACCAGTATTTTTTCAAGTTCCCCAGGCGATTCTAACGTTGAGCCAAGGTTGAGGACCACTGCTGCAGAATCTCTCTCTAGCCATCTCCCCTTTCTGCTTCTTCCTGGTTCATTTCATTCTACTGACAGCTTTTCCCACTATAGCCTCAGATATGTACCCTCTCAGAATAATAATCTCAATATAAAACCCAAAGGATCTCCTCCAGCCATCCACGCATTGATGGATGTGTGCTGTTGGGCCCCGTGCTCACCCTTTCATTCCCGTCACTGCTGCTGGGCGGGTGGCATGAGCCCACCCTGTGGCCAGGACCCTTGGTTGGTAACGCCAGAAACACTTGGGACAGAGACAGAGCAATTCCTTCTAAGGAATTGCTATCTGAGATAGTCGAACAGGAAAACTCCAGATACATCATCTAAATAAAAGGAAACTAGTTAGACTTCAACCTGGTTGATATAATTTACTGTCAGCACAATTAGCTTCAGCCACTTTTTTTGTAACTCACAAGATTTGGGCTTGATGCTGTCTTGTCTTCAGGTCTCTTAACCACTGCGCGCGACGCCGTTATCGCTTTGCTGGATGATACTGGGTCCGTGTCTTGACTGTCTTGGTGGAATTTCAGCCCCTTGAGTCTCTGAAACTGCTTAGCCCTGACTCCTCGTCACACCCACGGCTGACTGATCTCGCATGCTACCCTCGTGATTCCTCTCCATCCCACTTGGGGATAACCTTCCACCGATGCCGCCACCCTTAGGTGTGACTATACTCAGCACTTCAATTCAGACTGAAATCAGGTTTCCAAGTTTCGGCCTCTCTCATCCCCTTTCCTAGGGTGATCTTTGGGTCGGAGTTGCCCTTGTGGGAATGCTTTGGGTTAAATTTTTTTTTAACCAAAAGATCATTGGAATTATACATGGCAGCCTCGATTGTACCTATCCACTTGTTCTGAGCAGCACGTAACAAAGTCTCTCTTTCTCTCCCTCTCTCTCTCTCTCTCTCTCTCTCTCTCTCTTTTAACCGAGACACTATTGAGAACAGTAAAATGCATTCCCAGGAATACTTATTCTATTTTATGGAATAAAATATGTACTATTCTGGAATAGCACATAAAGCCAATTGAGATCTGTTAAAAATAAGTAAATAAATACATAAGCACATTGCCAACCTTCCAGGGAGTGGAGACTTTTTCCATCCGTTGGAGGGGCGTGCACACAAAGAGAAAAGCCACAGTAAATACCTGCACGGGAGGAACACAGGCACGGTGTAATCAAACAGTCCCTGCCAAGCACACGAGTCCCCAAGACCCTTGTTCCCTGCTGGCGGTCTCTGTGGCGTTGTCATTGCACGTTTTCTGAATCCAGCTTACTGTGGGTTTCCGAAGGTTCTGGTTACACACTGAGCAGTCACTTTTGATCTCTGTGTTTCCCAATTAACTCGAGCCACTCCGCAGAACGACACAGGGACACAGGACGGTGGGCACGCCAGCGGGAGGTCCCTTGCCATTCTGTGCGCTGCCGCTGGGGGCCTGAGCCGCCAAGCAGATCTTGAGGTTTTGCTTATTAAGTAGACACCTTACAGGCCTCTTCCTGTTTTGTTCACTTTTTTCATAGCTTCAGATGAAGTGAAAAGGGACCCCAAAGGGGCTTTGCCTGCCACTAGAGGGAGGGACGCCCTTGGCCCTCGCAGCCCAGAGGACAAGTGTCCGCCCGCAGCACAGGAAAAGACTGGCTGCCCCGGACACCTCCTCTCCCCCAGCTGGGAAGGAAGCCACCTGCCGCAACGGTCACCGCTGGGGTCACACTCTTCGTGAGCACTACATTTGGAGATCTCATTCCTGTGTGAAGCCACAGCATCCTTTTTGGTGTTCTTTGAAAGTTCTGTGTTTTTCCAGCTGTTCCACAAACCTTTGTTGGCTAGGGCAGCCTTGCACAGAGCTTTCCAAAATTACTGAGGCTATACACATTCTTTCTGCCCACGGTGTCCGCACCGACCCCTCCACCGTTTGCTAATGCAAATCGTTCCCCCTTCTCACCAGTTTGTCTCACTTCCATGTATCAAAAAGCTGTGTGCGTCACTCTTGGCCGAGAGTGGCACTGGGAAGGGGTCACTGGGCACAGCCAGGATTAATGTCTTCTATTCTTGAACTTCATATAAATAGAATGACACAATATGTCCTTTCTGTGTGGAAAGGCTGCTTTAGGTCTACTTATTGCCTGCAAAATTCACCCATGTTGTTGTGCTTATCAGTATTTAAGGCCTTCTTACTCCTGAGCAGTATTTAATTGCATGAACAGATCACAGTTTATCTATTCATCTGTACATCAATAAGCTCACAATTGTTTACTGAGCACCTACTAAGTGCCAAGCACTGTTCTAAGTGCTGGGATAGAGCAATGAATAAGACAATCAAGGTCCCTGTCATTACAGCACATCTTCATGGGGGTAGATGGGCACTTTAACCTAAATAACCAAGGAAGACTGTTCTAGGCCCTGGTACATGGCGCTATGGAAACCGGAGTGGTGTGATGGAGTATCATGGATGCTCTGCCTCAGTGGTCGGGGAAGGTTTGAGGAGCTCACAAGTGAGTTAAGACCTGAAGGATGGGGAAGGGTGGCCATGTAGAGCTTGAGGAAGAGGCTAGCAGCAGAAGGAACTACAAAACAACTGCTCTGGGGCAAAAAAGGTGTGATGGGCTTTGGGAAAGAGAAAGAAGGTACGAGAGGTGGGTACGCAGCCATTCATTCACTCTTTCAACACATAAATATATAATGATCTTCTACTGTGTGTCAGGCACTGTTCTAGGCTCTGAGGATCTAGCAGTGAACAGAGCAAATGAACATCCTGCCGTCACAGAACAAGAAGCAAGGAGCAGGCAGGAGGACTTTGGGGAGTGAACGGAGGTCAGGTGAGGTAGGACGGTGTGGCCCACGGGAAGGAGTTTGGATTTTCCCCTAGAGCAGCAGGAAGCCACAGAGGTTGTAGGCAGAGATGTGAAGGTGATCTAACTTCCGACCAGGGTGGAGCTTGGAGACCAATTAGAAGGCCATGTGGTGATCCAGGCTAGAGCTCCTGTGCTGGGACCACTGCTATGGCCGTGGAGGCAGTGAAGATGACCTGCAGTCAGGGTATATTCTGGAAGTTAGCCAACAGGACCTGATGAAAGATTGTTTGTGGAGTGAGCAAAAAGAGAAATCCCGTTCAAATCCTGAGCTACTGGGTAAATGGTGGTGCCCATGCACTGAGATTAGGATGACTAGGGAGGAAGAACTTGGGTGGGGAAAAGCAACAGTTTTATTTTGTCAACTTAAAGATGCAAATGAACATTCAAGTGGAAATGTTCAAGGGGCTAAAGGAGTCTGCAGTTCAGGGACAGAGAGAGGCTGAAGGTATAACTTTGAAAATCATCAGTGTGTAGATGGCTTTTAAAGCCACAAGATGGAATGAGATCACCTAGGAGGAAAAAGCAGTCCAAGAAGGAGACAGAGCAAGTCTTGGAAAACCCTGAGAATGTGAAGTTCCATTTTACAGATGAGCAGACTGAAGCTCAGAGAAGCTAAGCAGATTGCCCAAGGTCACAGGGTATGACAAAGCTGGTCTTACCCCAGGGGCTTCACACTTACCTACTTTTTCACTGTAATGCCTAAGGTTTGTCGGGTCTGCCACTTAGATGCCATGTGACTTCAAAGTACTTAACCTCCCACTGCCTCAATTTTCGTGTCTATAGAGTGGGGATAACAATAATTATACATAGCACATAAGGCAAGTGACTATAAAATAAATTAATATAATTAAAGTGCTTATAACAGTGCATGGCACACAGAGCAATATTATTACACTAATATTGTTACATAAGCCACAGGGTCGGCACAGCCAGGTGAGCTGGCTCCAGATGTCCCAGTCAGAGATCTGTGGAGTCTGAGAGGTCAGGTCCGTCTCAGACAGGAACTCTTTTCTGCTCGTTGCCGGGGTGTGCATAAAGCTTTGCTGCTTAGATGTGGGATGCCTCCAAGTAGCATTTATGCCATTAAAGCCAAATCTGAAGGCAAGAGAAGAGAAAGATCTAGTCGATATTGCATGTATTTTATGCACATGGGGTAAATACCTGGTTTTTCTGAGCACAGTTTCCCTTGCCCCCTACTTTTGTTAACTGTGTCCCTTCCCTTCCTTGAAGTTACTGTCCTACCCCAACCCTGTGGGGGCTTCACAGACCAAAAGCCCCTGTCCTCAGTGGTTGACCAGAAGGATGGAGGCATGACCCAAGCTGCACCAACCCAAACTGTCCCCCTTGGGTTTTATGGATATTGGGAGAACACCCTGTCTTTTCTCAGGGGCTGCTAAGCTGTGACGACATCAGCATGGAACTGTCCCATCCTCACCTCCTTTGCCTGTCAGCCGAAAGAGAGAGAACGAAGTCAACAGAGGGAGATAAAAACCAAGAGATGAGAGCTTGGAGGGCTTCACCCGAGCCCCTGGCTCACAGCTGTCTGGGCCCACCCATCATCAAGCTCTTTTCAGTGATGGGAGCTGACGTGTCCCCTGCTGTTTGCTTAAGCGAGTTGGCATTGGGTACCTCATGGCCTGCAAAGGTCTGACTAACTGATTCATGTTAGGTCTGACTCGTGCTAATTTTCACAGCCTTAGCTAAGACTGTCCTGAAAGTAATTCAGTGCTGTCATTTAGTTTCGGGAATGTGAACCTAGCAGGTTAGAAGTTCTAGTCCAAGGTCTCGTGGGATTTAAACGAACTGACCACCAGAGTTTCTGTGGTCTGTGTTCACTTTATCTCCCTCTCTGTAGGTGGACCTGCCCATCTGCCCACGCCACTTCTAAACCCTTTGGGCACACTCTGAAAGGACAGCCCCCAGCTCGTGCAGTCACAGTGTTTGGAGTCAAGGGGACACCAAAGCGGCAATATTTTGCTTGGGGAGCTAGAACATCTCTAGACAAGCTGATCGCGACAAAGGAGTCCAGGACTATGACTTAAAATCACATGGAATGAGATCAAGCTGCCCTTTGGGCTTGGGTTTCTACACTTCTGGCCCCAATAAAAGGATCCAGTTGAATCATGAGTGCCTGTAAAATTTTGTGGATTTGTAGAAGCTCATAGATTCCAGTCTTCCTAAAGAGAGTAGTAAATCATTGGCTGGTATTTGCTTCATTCACATGTATGTGCATATATATTAATATATGTCTGTGTGCGCACGTGTGTCTATGCATCTGTATGTGTGCTATATGTATACAGTGTATCTGTATACTCGCAGGCACACACGTGTGTGCTTGTCCGCGCGCGCACACACACACACACACGTGTTCCAGCCTCACACACGTCTCCAGAAAAAAAGAATTAGAGAAATGGTGAAAACAAAAATCAGAATTCCTTAAAACTTCTTTAGGAATCCTCTCCTGGCCTTCACCTTATTTTCTCCTGTGACATTTTCGTCTCAAAGCTCTAAATTCTTTTCATAGCCCCTGAGTAGGTGAAAGCGGTTGGAGAACAGCCTTGTATTGTCTCGCTTTCCTTTGGCAAGCAAAGTGGGAAGGTGATTTGAGGAGTTGGAAGAGGGGAGGGCACATTTTCCCTGTACCTCAGATCTGGCAGGCCCAGGTTTTAAAAGCTCCAGAAAATACAGCCCTTGATTAGGCCAGGAGAGAGGAGACCCAGGAGGCCCGGAACGAGGAGCGAATGTGGGTTTGAAGTGTTATTCTCGTCTCCTCTCGGCCAGTCTCTCCTCCTCATTGTTCTGCTGCCTGCAGCAGACATTTGCTGAAGAGTAACTCTCTCCTTGCTGCAGCTGAGCACTTGTCTGACTGTGGCATTCCTGTGCAGACATGGGGAAACTGGGGGAGAGGACTGAGGTCCCATCTGGCCAGCTCACTGCCAGGGCGGACTGAAGTCCTGTGAGGGCGTGGGCGTGGGCGTGGGTGCCCGTCTGCATTGCCGCTGCGCTGGCGACTACAGCCAGCCTCTAGAAGATGCTAATGAGATCCTTGTAGAGAGCTACAAAATCATCCGTGGCAGATGGTAGAAGGTTAGGTTTTGATTTGTCTTGTTCCACTATTGTTTTTCTCGAAAAATGTGCTAACCAAAGGGTTGCTTTATTTTGACAAAGCCACAAATTAATTTTTAAAGCCGTTTTATCTGACCTTCCTTTAGTCATAAATTCAAGGAGCATTACCATTTTGGAAACAAAAGCAAATCATTAACCAGCTACTCCCCTTTGTGTTTCCATTGCATTTCACTTTCCCCCCCCTTACACTGAAGAAATCTTTTACATTTTCTCTGAACCTATGGAGATGGTAGACACTAATGCTGTGAGTACCCTGGTGACGTGTGATTCATTTTCTTATTGGCTGGGGCAGGGTTGGGTTATTGTACTGTGGTTAATTTTTACTCCCTCTCTAAACAGATGTAAAAGCAAAAAAATATTATACAAGCCAACAAAGAGAATAGAACTTATTCTATTATTTATAATATATATATATTTAATATATAAATAGAATTTATTTACTGTTGAATACTTTCAAGATGCAAGCATCACACTAAGCAGTGTACTGACATCATCTTATGTAATCTCGCATTACTCCTGTAAGTAGGTCCTATTGTTATCCCATTTTACAGATGAGGAGACTGAGACTTGGAGAAAGAAACTTTCCCAGGATCTGATGGTCTGGAAATGGCAGCAGAACTAGAACTCAATGCCAGGGAGCCCCACGCCAAAGCCAGTACTTTGAGATGGTACATTCTTCTGTTTTCCCTGATGGATTCCAGTTAGATCGGTGGTAGTCTCTGGAGTTTAGAGGCATTTTTCCTAATTTCAAACTCATTTGGGGACCAGAGGTTGAAAGGCTCATTTGTGGAAAGGGAGTTGGACATGAGTTATGGAGGCATTGGCCCAACCTCAAACATGGAAGGTAGACCCAGCATTTTGCAAATGAAGAAATTAGAGTATAGTGTTTCCATTACCTATTGCTGTATAGCAAACCACCCTAAAATTTGGTGGCTTAAACCACAAAACCATTTTTATTGCTCCCAATTCTGTGGGCCAGGACTTCGGGCAGAGCTCAGCAATGCCATCTCAAGACGGTTCCACGTGGTGTTGGCCCGGCTGGCAGGACTAGGGTCTCTCTCACATACGTGGGGCCCTGGGGTGGCTGCTGGCTGCCTGCCCTGCAGGACAGCCTGAACTTTATCTGGTGGCTCGGAGTGGCAAGAGAACAAAAGTGGAAGCTGCCAAGCCTCCGAGCCTAGGCTTAGAGCTGGAACAGCGCCCCTTCTGTCTCATTCTATTGGGCTAAGCTGGTCACAAGGCAGCCTAGAGTCAGGGGGAGGGGGACAGCGTGTGTACACAGGCATGGCCTGTTTGTGGCCATCTCTGCAGACAATCTACCACACACAGTGACGTGTTAGTGGCAGATAGCCAAACGTTAGGCTAATATTACAGAAAATCCCACTGTGGCAGCTTTCCTGAAAGGGAAAAGATTGCCTTTAGAAACTACGTTGTGTTCGGACTCTTTCAGCCTAACAAGTAAATGTGGGAGGTATTTTAGAGGGGAGGGGACAGGGGCTGCTGTCGCTCATCTATGTCTGTGGGTGGGGATGGTCTCATGGGCCTATGCGACCTGTCGAGTCCAGTGGAGGGGGGCGCCTTCTCTTGGTCTAGGCAACCTAGATCAAGAGGAGAACCCCAGGCAAAAAACCAAGGGGGGGAGTGGGAGGGGTCACTCCACTGAGGACACAAAGGCAGTGTGCCCAAGGATGTTGCAGAGGCTGCCAAGGTGAGTGGGGAAGAGAAAACTAGCCCCACCAGCCCAAAATGATCAGCCCGATGTGCTTCTAATGAAAAACAGACCAATGGCCTAGTCAAGAAGAATCTAGTGAGAAAATAAAGGAATTTCAGGCCTCAACCAGCAGAGCATCTAAAATCACTTTACAAAGCTCATTCACCCACCTGAATAAGGAGCAAACACAAATTCAAGGTCAGATGTAGGAATGTGCACCTGGGGTGGGAAAACAAAGTGGATTGCACCCAGATGAGAGTAATTGAAATTTAGGGGTTGTCAGAGTCAGAGGCAGCCTAAGAGATGGAAATTAGTATAAACCCCATTTTATGCATGAGAAGACTGAGGCCCAGAGAAGTGAGGTGCCTGGCCAGGTTCCACAGTTCTCAGCTATTCTTACACTGTTAATGAGCATTTAGTAAGCACGACTAGATTAGGTGTCAGGCATTTTGCTTGGTGATCAGAATGCAAGGTGGAGTAGGACATTGTCCTTGCCTTCAAAAAGCTGTCTGCAGAGGACAGGAAAAGCCATGATTACAGAACAATGCAGGGCTGTGGTGTCCCAGGTGGGTTGCGGGAGCCCAGGGCAGCAGCCCTAGGACCAGAGCTCCGCCTCTAAGCTCCAGGTCCCTTTTGTGATGTCCATGGGCTCCATAGAGGAGAAAGCTTGTTTTAAAAAAATCCTGCCTGCTGAGCTGTCCGTCAGAGCTGTATTGGAATCCTGCGATTTAAAAGAAAGCACAGCCCTACAATTTCATGTGCACTGATAAGAGAAAATCCTAACAGAGCAACTGCACATGTCATGTCACACACAATCTCACAGCACGTGGCCCCAGCACCATCTCTGAAGCAGGTAGCCAGCTTTAATCCAGAGCCTCTGACTTCCAACCCCTTCACTGGGCCACTAAATAAGACATATTCTGGCTGGAGCAACCCAAGAGCAGACCAAGAATGGAGCACACCGGCCAGTGTGCACAGCCAGCCCTATGCCAAGTCATAACAAGGTCATAAAGGGTGCTCAGACCTAATGGGAACCCAAGAGGCACTTTCAATTTGTATGACAGAAAGGAGAGCACAGACCTGGGTCTTACATAAACCCTCTGAGCCTTGAGTTGCCCAGCTGTCTAATGGGAATAATAAAAATAATAGTTGACAGCCATGGGAAGCTCACCGTGCCCCAACCATTGAATTGAAGGCTGTAGAGGCTTGCCTTGTTTAACCCTCACAGCCATCCTGTGAGCTAAAGATGATATTATAAATATTTCCATTATACCGATGAAGAAACTGAGGCTTAGAAGCTTAAGTCACCTTGCCCAAGGTCACACAACTAGCAAGGGAGAGGGGGGAGATTCAGCCCCAGGCAGCCTCCCCAGAAAGCCTGCACACTTCATTCTCTGCTACGCCATTTTTAAGGGGTACATGAGACACCCCATGCATAGTCAATCCCCTCTCCTTGTTTGGTCCCCCTTCCTTGTATCTGTCTCCTGGGATCCTGAACCGTGGCCCCTGCTCTCTGGCCCTCCGTGGCTCTCAGCATCTATTCATGCCACCCTTCCTGCAGCCTCAGCGGCTGCCTCCAGAAGACAGGATCTCCCAGGGACTCAGGCCTCCTAGGGTCCCTCCACCGTCCTCAGGGCTCCCGCACTCTCCACCCCTTCAGCTTCCACACCCCAGTCCCGAGCTTCCTGTCCATCCCCCAGGGAGACAGTGGAGTGTTAGGGCTTTCAGCCCAGCCCTCCTATGAGAGAGGTGAGCAGAGAGGAGGGGCCGGGAAGGTTCCTTCCTCTGCTCCTGCCATTCCCTGGGCTCAGCCAGGAGGACCCCTGGAGATCCAAGCCGGCCCCAACAGCTGACCTTCGTGAGCACTCCCGGTGCACCAGGCATCGTCTCAGACGCCTCATCCCCACCCCAACTTTATACACAAAGGACTGGTCCAATCTCACCAAGCTAGGAAGTGGCAGAGGTGGGATTCAGACCCCTCCGTCTGCTGCAGAGCTCACGCCTTCTCTGTTACTACACAAGAGGAAGGGCGAAGGGACAGGGCGAAGGGACGAGGGCCACCCAGCTCCGAATGCAGCCCTCAGACCAGCAGCCTTAGCCTCCCCCGGGAGCTTTTCAGACATGAACAGGAACCCGCATTTTAACAAGATCTCTGGGGATTTCAAAGCCCATTAAAGTTTGGGAAGTCCAGGTCTGGGTCGGTGGTTGGCCCCGGGGATTTTACAAAATGCTGGTGCCTGGGTGCCCCCCGCCCCCAGCGGTGCCGAGCTCACTGGCCAGGGTGCAGCCTGGACATCGGATTTTTTTTACAGCTCCAGGTGACTGCGGTGGGCAGCAACCTCCAAAAACCACTGGCAGGAA